CAAGTCATACAGAAATTGCTATTTCATTCCATCAGTTCAGGAAAATTCTTCCCTCATTTTTGCATAAAGCCACGACAGACTTTTGGCAGTAGCCCCTTAAATTAGACCAGCTCCAACTCAGGGCTTCTTGCCTTTAAATAATTCATCTTTTCCCACATTCAGGTGAAAGTGAACCATGTATCATCTGAAATGCCAACCATATACAAGAATACAAAGTGCACCTGTTGATGTGCTATGGCTTCATCCCTTTTCCTACCAGGAGATTTTCTCCAGTGAATCTGTGATTCCCACCAGCAGTGACAGAGCTGGTCCCCGAGAAATGACAGCAAATGTTCACAGACAGAACTGAGGCTCCTTCCTTCAGAATTCCAGCAGATTCCCTGCCCTTTGGGTGGTGGGAGGGGATTCCTAGCTAAGCATGGAGGAAGTTTAAACACATGAAGAGTTAACCCAAATTTCCTGCTACCCAACACCCCCATCTCACTTTTAGCAAGTGGACAAGATGTTTCTCTCCTGCACAGAAAGACCATGACCACTGAACCCAGCAATCTAACACCACAGCAGCTCACTTAAACTGCTGCTCACACAGGGGCTTCCTTCATTATCAGCTCCAAACATGTCCAGACAGAAAAGCACAATCACATTTGCAGAACCCATCACAGATATTTATGTGTTCTTCTTCTTGGCCCATAGAATTTACTGGTTTGATAAACTCCCTTCTCTTTTTAACACAACTTAGCAGTCTCCAAGGTGCACCTCCAAACTAGATTAATGTACCTCCAGAACATTCATAAGGTAAAGAAATGTAATTTAATTTGTGATTGCATAAACCAGTCACGGAAGCCTCCCAAGAAGCCTGAGTTTTCATTTCTTTCATAGTAGACATTTAATTATATGATAATTACTTACAGCTTGCAGCTCAGCTTCTACTTTTATGAAATATAAATTGCTCTTCACTCAAAAGTGCAGGATGAGCATTTAAAAGGCTTCATTAAGTAGGTTTTAAGATTTTTTTGACGACTTTCTTTAAGCTGTGGAAGGGAAAGCAGATGTACCTGTAAACTGAAACTTGCTTCACAGAAGAACAAAGTAGAATTGCTAATGTAATACCAGGATGGATGAGCCTTTACAAGAAAAAAATATTAACTTTTAACAAACACATTTTTTTTCAATAACAAACAAAATATTTCTGTCAAGCTGCATGATAAAAGGGACCAGAAGGGAATAAGCAGCATTGCCAGATCTCAGACATGAACAACAAGGCTCTTTACCCTAAATTTCCACAGCTTGGAAACCTGAGTTGTGTCAGACTCACACCATTATTAAAGCAGCCCAACCAAAAACCCACCAACTCAATTGTGGCTTCCTAAAAGCTGGAAAACAGGAATTATGAAAGCAGAAAGTGAAAGACAAGAAAAATACCTTCACATGAATTTATGTATTGTAATTCTGTGACTGTTTTGACCTTGATTTTAGATCATTAGGAGATGGCAGTGCCAGTACTTCTGCCCTCTCATATTTTCACAGGGCTACAATATCGGACCTAGGAACAAAGGTATGGGGACACAGAATAATGAAAGGCTGCAAAACGTTGTGCAGGCATTACTGCAGCTCCCTGTTGGCCACACCAACACCCCACAGTGGTGGCAGGAGGATGCTGCTGGCTGCAGGCCCTGCAGGAACCTGACCAGGCAGGCAGGGAGCTCTGCCCCAGGGCTGTGGCTCCATCCAGGCAGGGCAGGGGAGCTGAGAAAGGCTGAGGTGGGAGCTCTGAGACTCCAACAGGTCAGTTTGTCTGATTTCAGATCAGCAGCTGGGTATGCCCATACTACTAATCCTATCTGGATTCATGAAACATGAATATACAACATGGGACAATGAATCTGGCACACACAACCTGCCTGTAAATTCTGCTTGGCAGCTTTGTCTGCCGCCCTCCAAGCCAGTACCCCAGAAGGGAAATTCTCTCTGGAGCAGAGGAACACAAAAGCTGAGATTTGCCTAGAGCAGTGCGCTGCTAAGGAAGCTGAGCAGATCTGAAAAACCCAGACTGAAAGGCTCAGTTAAACTGCACTAAGTCTTGGTATGGACACTCTCACTCAGAATTAAAAAGTACCCCTCATTCAAGTGAGGCTTATTAATTCCCAAGGGAAAACAAAGCTTATTATGATTTTTTGTCACTTAAATTCTGAAGTAACAAGCCTACTGAGAATTTGATCATTTGGTTTAAAAGGCACTTTGGAATAATTTTCCTTAGGGCTCCCATCCAGAGCAGCATTTGCAGACTGCAGTGACTTTTCAGACACTGAGCACTCACACCACCCCAGAGCCACCTCTCTGCGGCTCAAAAATTCAGTTTATGGTTTTTCCTTCTTCTGGAGATGACACACCCCAAATGGTCACTTTTAATTGTGGCCATGGGCAAGCATTGCCCCAGACCCTGTCCTTACGCAGAGGCTGTGAACAGTGCCCCTAACCCCAGCTGGCTGGAGTCAGCCATGGTCCAGGGGAAAACAAAGAGCCAACACCCCACAGCAAGCTATGCCTTGGCTGAAATGAGCAGAAAAGTTCATCTTTATTTCATATAGTTTACAAAAGGGCAGAAAATGCCACGCCATTTCATTCTGAATAGCTTCTTCCATTATCTACTGCAGCACGTAGCACTTAGCAGCTAAATAACAGCAAAGGAAGGAAATTAAGAAGTATAGAGGAGCAAAAGGAGTTGTATTTGCAGCTGAGGCATGGGGAGAATTGAGAGAGGGGCAAAGGCTGCTTTGTGTAGTACTGAACACAACTTCTGTACCCTTACACCAGCACAGTCTGCTGGGGTCAGGCTCTCAGACACCCTCATATTGATCAGTAATGTCTCAACCTATAGAAAACAGCTTAATGCTGCAACAAAAGCTACTTGGCAGCACATAAAATATTTAAAAGCATTTTTTGAGCACAGGTGCTGAAGGAAGGATTGCCTGGGGGCTGCCCAGCATAGGAGGGTCTCTCCCAAAGGGAAAAGGGCACTTAGAGCTCCTGTGAAACCTTTTGGCACACACTTTGCCTTGAAAGGGCACAATATTTTTACAGCTGCTTTTCTGAAAGTTATCTCATGTCCAGAGGGGAAAGAGGAGGACAGGAGACAGGGAGACATCACAGCCTTCTTTGTCCTGGCCTCTCTGCACTACAGCTATTTCCACACTACACCAGGAGAACCATTCAGTGAAATAGTTTGAAGGCAGTGGGGAGGTAAGCAGAACACCTGATCACACAGACCCATAAAAATAAAAGGTTTCTCTTTAAAGTTCCATTAAATCTGGGTGAATTTTTGCATCTGCAACAACTGCACAATTAAGACTGCAAGAGATAAAGTTGTAATTTAAACCTATAATTAAAACAAAACTTTAAAAGAGCAATCTTTTATTCTTTCCAATCTGTTCTTTTAACATTTTATCAGTTTAAGGCACTTTTAAAGCCCACAGCAAGATATAACACCACACTCTTCCCAGAAAGTGAAGTAGCAGGGCCTCAGAAAACATCTGCATCAGGCAGGTGCACTTTGTGCTCCAGTGAAGAATGCCCCATTTTTCATAGTTGGATACTGCTGGGGAACCTCATTAGAAACCAAATTACTACCTGCATCAGGTTTACACTAATGTATTGACATCTACAGCACTTGTTAAATGAACCGTAAATCCAATACACTGAAGTCATTTTCAACTGAATCAAATCAGGTTTCAGTCACAAGAATTACAATTGTCATATGCTTAAAGCTTGGCACTTTCCTGGTGTCTCCAGCTAGATCATTTCAGACACAGAGAGAAAATTGTGAACCTATGAAAGAGCACAAGCTAAATTGGACTCACTGCAAGCATACTAAGCACAGGGTGAGGAGTTTGAGGATGATAATTGACTCTAATTGACTGCTTGGTAAAGCCACCCAGGCATCCACAGGCACTCCTCACTAATCTGTTTTCAACAGATGCTATTTTCTTCTCCTTAGTTAATTTATACTTTCTTGTTATAAAGCACATTGTTTGCATTTCAGAGAATATCTTAATTTTAGATCTCCACCTCCTGGTACCCCAGTGAAGCAATGGCTTTGTGGGACTGCAGGTCCTGCTGCAGCACACAGGGACTGTGCACAGCCCTGCCCAAGGTTCTTAAGAAGAAAAATGCCCTCCAGGCCTTGGGAAGCAAATTCACACTCAGGTGTTGCCTCTCTTCCCTTCACATCCACCACTGGTCTTCTTTTAATACTTCTTTTAATACTGATATAAAAATGCTTGACCCAAATGTGAGTGAGGACAGCATTAACCCCAAATTTCATTATTTTCCTGGGGTTGATGATTTCTCAGTAAATCCAGGTCTGTCATGCAGTGCCTGACCACATGCACAGAACAAAGGGGGATGTCAGCAAAAGGACAAAACCAGCCTACTCTTGCTCCTTCCCCCTGTTCCTCCAGCTTAGCTTTTCAGCTGCTTAAACCGAGATACTTGAAAGGCTAATTCAAATTCAGTACAGCTGCAAATTTGAACTAGCAGATTTGTCCAGCTTGATTTTCCTCCAGACTCACACAGACGCTTTCCCTAAGTGGCCTTAGTTCTGCTTAATTCATTTCCCAGAAACAGAAAACAGCAAAATGCAAATTAAAAAGGAAATATATATGAGCCAGCTCCTCTACCAGCATAAATCGAACCTGGTACCAGCGAATCACTCTGACACTCAGAGTCTGAGGAACCAGCTCCTAATCAAGAGTTTATATAGATTACATTCATTTACTAGGCCAGACTTTAAACAATCTCTTTTGGCCGCTCACTTCCTAAATCCCAGGCAGGCTCTCTGTGCAAATCCTCCTCCCTTTCCTGGGAGCAGTGCTGCCTCCATGATCTGCTCCAGCAATAAAGAGATGCCCCTTGGAAGAATGGCCACACAACAGAACAAAAAGCCACATTAAATTTGTGCAGCCTGGAAGAAATTCTGATCAGTCAGAAATAATTGGTGACCTTCTAATATGAGAAGAAACCTCAGTGGAAGGGGTGGGCACCACTTGCTTCCATTCATGCACAGAGCTGGATTGTTTGGAGAGCTGAGGCTATCCAGTTGGATGGAGCTCTCACTCCTTTGGCCACTTTCCATCCCCATTTACCATTTCCCACAGTGTTTTCAGCCTGTTCCTGGAGGGTCCAGCAGAAATTCATCCTGCCAGTGTATTCAAGGACACACTTTTGTGACACACCATGACTCACCTGATGCATTCATAGGCTGATGTGAAGGTGAGGATCACCCACACAGTGCATCTCATTCCCATTTTGTGGCTGAAATGCTGGATCTGCCCCTAGCCCAGGGCTCCTGAGCCTCCCCAAGCTGGCAGGGAGTCAGCCTGGCCCTGAACCCAGCACACAGGCAGGCCTGGACCAGGACAAGCTGGCACAGCTCAGCACAAGGCATTGGGCCATTTGCTCAGTGCGTTTACTATCAAATGAAAGGTCAGCAACTCACTGCAGAAAAACACAGAAAATGCTGGTAAACTGAGGTGAAAATGCAGCCTCAAGCAGAGTGAAGATGGTCAGAGTGAAGATCACACTTACCTTGGAACAGATTTGTTCTCAATTGCTTCTTCCTTCCAATTCTCAATTTCTTTTTTGCCCCACTCATTTTTCCAGTATATTGTTAGTTTCTTACTCCCCTGTGAACAAGCATGTTGCACACAGGTTTCATATGGGTGCAACTCCTTTCCACTGCTTCCCTGGAGTGCTCAGTATGGCCATCAGGAGGTGGATGAGGATTCCATGGTGCTGGCATTGATTCACCTCAGCCATTCCTGCAGTGAGCTGGGAAGGCTGCACCCTCCTCACCACATCATTGGCAACTCCCTACACTTCAACCACGGTCATTTTAGCCCCCTCCAGCCTGCAAAATAAAAGAGTAGCTGTTAATTTAGCAGCTGTAGTTTGCTTTGCACCCTCCAGAGCCAGCTGCCATGGGGAACCTTCCCAGGATGCTCACCAGACAATAAAAACATGGGTGGGGAAACCAGGGGTAACCTGCACTGGCTGATCCAGGAGCTCTGGAGATCTCCATAACTAAACACATGAGAAAGAATAAAGTCTGTGATTCCACTGTAGCTGAGTCCATCACACACACCCTCTGTGAACCTCATGTTCTTCAGAGGATTAGGGGACCACACAACTGCACTGGGCTTTCCTTTATGGAAGACAGAAAATCTGCAGGGCAAGCAGGGAACAGAGTCAAAGAAAGTCCACTGGGTAAAGGGAAAAGGGGTTCAAAATACTACCAATGAAAGGGCAATGCCAAGAAATTGAGGTTAGTTCAGAGCCAGTTACAAAAGCTCAGAACAAAGAGTGGCTACATGAGCCTTTAAAAACTAGCAGCAGATGCAGAAATAAAAGTCCATCTTAAAATTAGCTGTAAAGGAGATACATGAAATCCCCAACATGGTAACAGGTCAGAAAGGTCCTTTCACTGTAGAGCTCTCAAAATACAACACAACAAACAAGTTGGCTAATGCTGAGAGAGTCGGGATCATTTTCTTGTAGCACAGTCTGTGCCCAATCATAGTGCAAACCAGACAGAGCAAGTGCACCAAGCCACATAATCAGCACAGAAGGATCAAAGCACCTTCCTCAAACATCTTTGATGAAGGCTTCTAACTCTTGAATTACCTCCTATGCTTCAATTTATTATTTTTGATGACAGTATTTTGTTTTCATCCAAACTAATTATGCCCAAATCAATGGTAATGCTAGATTTGGCATCAATTATCCCTGTAGATGCTCTCAACTTAAATCATCCCTTTGCACACAGATGATTCCCTTGGCTACCTCCTGCCAGAGCATCGACACCTGAGTATTTATTTCACTCATTATCTTTATGCCCATCTCTGGAATTTGATAGAAACCACAGGAATATAAACAGCGTCCCCCTCCTGTGCTCTCCAGGCACCAGAATCTGGGCTCCCTCAGCAGAGAGCCACTGTCCAACAGCCTGCTCAGAAACTGCCCTGAAACTGAGATGTGCTCACACAATCTCCCTCAGTCACAAACCCTGCACCAGACAAGGTGTCCCAGCAGGTCACTTGTGGAGCTTTACAAGACCAGGTTAACTGATGCACCAGACCAGAGCCTCTTCATTTAAATTATTGGAGCGTCAAGAGTTCAAGAAAGCTGAAAACTGTTGGGGTTTTGGTTGTTTTTTTTTGGTTTTTTTTTTTTGTATATCATAAAGACTTACACAGTTTTGCAGCTGCATCTCCAGTTGTCCACTTCTCCAAGTCTTCCCTGGCCTGGAAGGGATTACTCAATTCTGAAAGAGAAGCAAAGCCCACCGTGATTGGGGTGACAGATGGATCCACCTGCTGGCACAAAATCACATTTTCTGTCTATCCCACTTCCAAATCAGAAAACAAAAGGAAAATTGCCCATTGGAAGCTAAAGGCTTCTCCATTATCAGTATTTACATTATTATTATTTACCTTTTTTCCTCATATAAAAATCACCTAGGTAAAAGTAGCCACTTGACTTTTGCAGAGGAAAAAAAAACCATAACAAAAGAGATGCAAACATTTTTTCTGACATTCTGACTCAGAATGTAAAAATCATCTCAAATAGCCCCTCTACATCTGAAAATTGTGTTTACTCTTGAGACAAGTAGGATTAGTCTCAGTGACAGATTAATTTGCTTTTTTGGTACAGAAAAAGGGCTCTGTGGGGTGAACACAAACACTGCAGGCTCCAGAGGACTGCAGGAGAGCATTTCACCTCCAGGTCACTGCTTCAGGTTCCATCTGGAGGCGGGGACAGAAGAATTTTTAATGTCTGATGTTCAATGATCTATGTGAAATGAGTTTTGTTGTTGTGCCTTCAAGTTAACACCACTGACAGTCTCAGTGCTGAGGCAAGAGCAGTGCGCAGCAAACCCTCCTGCACCCGGAGTTTCTGTTTTCATCTCATTGCAGGAGCTCCATGCTGTTTCCTATCACAGAAGTTCCATACCTTCTTGGTGTTTCTCGTGGGCTTCTCCTCACAGCACTGACTCTTTCTCCTTCACAAAGCAGCCACTAACTCCAGTTCCCTTCTCACTCACCCACCCCACTCTTTTACAACACTCTTCTTCTCATTGCTTACACCTGTGGCCTGTTAAAGTCAGGCCTGCTCCTAATCTTTGATAATTAACCCAGCTGCAACTCCTTAGGGGTGAGATTACTTTCTACACTATCTTTATTTTCTTATATTCTGTCCCCCTACAAGTTTCCTTGCCATGGAGGAAAGTCTGCTCCTGGGCTGGCAGTACTGCAGTTCTTCAGTAACAAAACAAAGGTTTCTTGACATTGAGGCTTATTAACTCATTGCGTGTCACCAGAATTAAAATTGTTCCAAGTGAATGCTGAAGGCAGCATTTATAACCCAAAAGAATCAGTTAAAACTCAGATCCGATGCAGAGATTAATAGGCTGCTCTCCTCTAGAAGTTTCTCCTTTTCTTCCTATTTGCAGACATGTGGCTTTCTCTGAAAGGAATGTATACAGTCCCAAAGCCTAGGAGCCTGCAGTTTTGGAGCATTTCCAGAAACACATTGCACCTGGAAAGGTCTGCTGTGGGCAGATGGAAATGAGCAATAAGCCATTTTTCCTTTAGGCAGTCCCACAGCACCAATAACACTGCCCAGAGGCCTCGTTCCCTGCCTGATCTGCATTTTGAGGTACTTTTTCTCCTGTGACATAACACACTTAATGTCTCTTAAAAGCAAAAGGCTACTTGAGATTTCCCAAGCTGAAACACGGTTTTAGAGGCCAGGACTGGAGACAGACATTTGGTTGCAGGGAGAGCACTGCTGCTCCAGCACTGCTGCTCTGCAGAGCCCTGGGGACAGCTGCTGACAGGGAAGGGGACACAGCAGAGAGGATCAGGGACCCTCCAGCCTCAGGGCTCATAAAACCACACTGCAGACACCCTGTGAGCCTGTGATGCTGTGATCCAAGGCTGTTCTGGTCACCTCTCACAATGAGCACCCTTCCAGGACAGCTCCAGCCACATCTCTTCCCCAGTCTGTGCATATAAGATAGGAGATGGGAAGGAAAAAAGCAGCCTTGCACTTTTCCTGCAATGAGTAGAGGAAGCAAGAAATCAACTAATGTGTTTTCCAGATCTTGCTGTGATGCTCTCTAAAAGAAAAAGAGGTTCTTGCACCAGCTACCCACCCACAACAATTTATAGCACCTGATTTGGTGGCATTAACCTGTGCACACAAAATGTGTCAGTTCTTATTATTCACTGTAAACATGTCATCAGCATGGAAATATGCTCCACAAGGCTACTGAGGCTGCTCCTGAAATTGTAAACAGTCCATTAAATAGGAGCAGTAAATACTCCAAAGTGCTGTAGATCTTGATCAGTTAAAAAAAGCACCAGACAGACTTTAAACCACAAAAAAAAATCCTTGGCTCCATCTAAATCCCCTTCTTGCAATCCACCCCAATGCTGCCCTGCAGGAAATTGAGGGGAACAAAGCCAGCAGGTAAAACCCACACAAGGACAGGAAATCCAGGAGCACTTTCACAGCTGCTGGAGCAAACACCAACAGCAATGACAAACTCCTCTGAAGGAGTGCACGGGCAGGGGATGGATGCCTGTGAGCTCACAGCCTTGCTCAGATTAAAGGTGCACCCGAGCATCTCAGGCAACAGGAGCCAGCACAGCCTGCACCAGTGGTAATGGTGATTTTGCACTCAGACTGTGGAGGAGGCAGAAACAAGATGTGGCTCTAGCTGACAGGAATATTTTTGCTAAGACAAAAACACCTGATGGAGCTGGTCCTGTGTAACCTGGTCCCTGGCACAGGATCTTACCTCCCTGGGTCTCACCACCACGGAGGAAATACCTGAGCAGATTTTTGCAGGGCTGGAACTCTGCTGATCCTCACAGCAATTTACACTCAAGGATAGAAACCACACTCTTCTTTCTTTACCAAAGACCACAAAACTTCATTTACTCCCCTGATTGTGTTAACCAATATGAAACAAAGTAATTTTTAATAAAGTGTGCCATGGCAGAGAAAAATTGATACAATCACAGAGCTGCTATAATAGGATTTAATTCTGCTTCAGATGTGCTAGTTTTAATAAAAAAGGATTGAGCAAATCTAAAATAAATTACAGTGAAAGGTCAGGCTTATTGCTTGTACAGTTATGTTAACTCTTCCACAGACATTTTTACAGACTGTATTTATGAGACCTTTTGATTTTCAGAAGAGGTATAAAATACGTCTGCAATTTTCTCATTATTTGCAGCAATGTTTCTTCTACAAGTGTCATTTCTTGGTGCTTCAATATAGATTTATTTAATGGACATCTATAAAAAATTATGAGTTATTTATCAGGTGGTTTTGTTGAATTAGTGAAACTGTAATTCCCAACGGAAACTTAAAACCCAACTAGAAAAAAATTTGTTAAGGGAATGATGATTTCCATTTGTGTGCCAGTGACTCTCATGATTTCTTATTCATTAATCATTCCACTAGCATGTCATTTATTCAACAGAAAGCAAATAAATTGCTTATTTTTATATATAGCTAAGGCCCTGATGCAGTGAACTACTCAGAACAGCCATGAATTGGAAAGAACTGTAGGCACTGAATCAGGGCTCTCATTAATATTACAGCAGCACCTTGAGACCCCAGCCAGCATCACAGCGCACATCCCTTAGTGCTGCATCACCCAGAGATAAATCTCCATCCTACCCCTAAAGGAAATACACATTAACAGACCTTAGCAGAGGAAACACAGAGTCTGCAGAGAAAGGAGCTTGCTGCAGTCCCAGAACAAGGCAGTGTCCCAGCCCAGAGCCCAGGCTCTGCTCTCCTACCTGGCCTGACACCAATCCTGCAGCCCAGCCAGGGACCCCAGCCAGCTGCAGTGACACCGTTGCATTCTTACCCAGGTCCATCCTTACAGGAGTCCATCCTGTGTGAGCACTGAGGCTCTCTGCTGCTTCTCATTGCTTTTACCCAGCTCAGGGGAACAGGAGACCTCACACTTGGAAAAAAGAACTGTCAGTCCTACATCAATGTTGATATAACATCTAGACACCAAAAGCTCAATTCTCTACAGCCACAGCAGAGAGATCCTGCTGAACTGGACCAAAGAAATTATTGGAAAGAACAAGAAATCCAAGCCAGTCTTGGTATCTGTCTGTATGCATAGCTCCAGAACCTGGGCACCAGCCCACCAGCAGTGAGCGCAAAGTGGCCTGGACTGTGTCACCACATTTAAGAGTAAAAATCCTGGGTCCACTGTGAAGTTCTGTTCAACACTCACACCGGTAAAGAGTCTCTCCAGCATCAGGAAACTGCACACAACACCTCTGACAGCAGCAGGATAATGAAGACCTGACACAGCAGCCAAGGACTTTCCCAGGAAATTTGGGTTTTAAGAGTCACTTCAATTCCAAACCACTGATTTTTATGTCATTCTAATGAGATGAATGGCTACTAGCTGACTAGGGAACTGGAAGAGAGTGTCGTCTTCATTTTTCTATTTGGAAAACACAGCAAACCTTAGAGACACCTCCTCAAATCTGCCTCAGCAGCTTAAACATCTACCAAGGTCCAGCACATCAGCTCATCCACACTTTTCCTTCTGATTCCACTGACTCTGACATGATATCTGTATCTATTTCCCCCTATATAAGCAGATAGGCCCCGTTCCATACAACCTGGAGTTCCTGCTGCTGTGATTGATACAAATCCTCTCATGTCCCACAGGAATGTGGCCTCCTTCTGACAAAACCATCTATTTTGTCTTTTATTTTAATCGGTTTCCTGCCAGCTGGGGTCTGTATCCATCTGATCAAGTGAACTATGTCCTCAATCAACCCTTCTTGATTTTTTCCTCTCTATTTTTAAAAGCAACGGCCCAAGATCATGAAAGCAGTAAAAAATATTGCATTTTCTCAACTTTTAGCTAATTCCTGATGAGAAAAACATTTCTATAGCAACTTATAGACAAAGCCCTTTGAATTAAAAATAATTTATTAATGCAGAGAAACTGGCAATGCTGCTGATCTCAGGTTGTAGGCACCTTTGTTTGAGCAAGTCAGAAAACTGAGGTGCATAATCCAGGACCAGAGTCTGAGAAAGGCTGTGTTGAGCACACCTATCTGCTGAATTTGACCAAGGAAACTCACACTCATCCTGCTGCACTAATGACTGAGGAGCCCCTCAGCTCTCCTGCACACACAGGCAGGCTGGGAGTGACACACATCACTTCACCTGGCCCACAGCAGAACAGCCAGCTCTGAGCAAGGAATGATAGATACAGCCACCCCAAACTCTGGGGACAAGGCAGGGATGGCACAGCCACCCCAAACTCTGGGAACAAGGCAGGAATGGCACAGCCACCCCAAACTCTGGGGACAAGGCAGGAATGGCACAGCCACTCCAAACTCTGGGAACAAGTCAGGGATGGCACAGCCACCCCAAACTCAATGGCAATCAATGGTTTCATTCAGATCCAGAAAATTGTACTGATTTGTATCAATAGGGTGTTATTGGCTCCATATTATTTTCAGTTCCCTCCAGTGAAGAAGATTTTCCTTCTGCCCACCTCGGTTCTACATTGAACTCTGCAAGGAGCCTTCTGTGCAGAGGCATCCATTCTGCCTGTGTACAACATTCATGGATGGCACTGGGACCTGGCATCAGACAGCAAACCAATCCTTGCACCCCAGGCTTCTAAACAAACTTTTAAACCAGTGGCTGACAGCCAGCATTTTAAGAAAATCCTGCAGCACCCAATAAATAAATAGACTTCCATTACTCTTGTGTTCCTGATTCTGCCTCAGGTTCACTACAAAGTAACTTGCAGCTCAATAAATTTTGACATGTTTTCATGTTATAAAAACAAAGACAAAAACTTATTTATTCACTTTTTACCTCATACATCCCAAATCAATAATTGCATCTATTGATCGATGACAAATTCAAAACTTTAATTTACATTGAGCACCATAACCTAAT